GTGCCATCTGGGTCCTGTTAGCTCCCGCCTTAAAGAGCCAGAGCACCTTTTAGCCTATGACTTGCTATAGTTTCCAACTGATCAGCCAACAACAGACAGGTCATGTGGGGTCTAGACACTGACCCACCGTGTGACCCTGGCCCGTCTTTCTCAGGGCCGACAATCACGGGGTTGGGGGGCGGCCCAGGTGAGGTGATGCCCACTGCAACGTGCCGGCTGCTTGTGAATGGTCATGGTTGCCCTTAATTATTGTGTCACAGCAGCCTAGCTGGGGCCTGGCCCCGGGCCCCTACTCTTAGCTGAACTAGAGCCAGCTCTGACTCGGGTGCTCACAGAGGCAGCAGTGGGCCCCTCCCCGCTCTGCTGGCCCCTGGCTGGCCCCACCTGTTTCTAGGTCTTTCTTGGCCCAACCTCCCTTTCCCTCCCCCCTCCCCACCTCCTAGGTCTGCGGGCAGGCACCACCAAGACTGCCAGGGCCCTGCTATTATCAAGTCCAATCCTTACTTCACAGATGGGGAAATGGAGGCCTGGGAGGAGCAGACCCTGAACCCGGATCCCCTCCTTTTCTGGAACTTAGTAACAATAAACTTTTGTGCACACGTAGGGCTCTTAGGATCTTTTGGCCTCAGTAACCCTGCGAGGGTAGGGAGGCGGCCATCTGTTCACCTCATTTACTGTGGTGAGGCTGGCAGGCCCCAAGGCCAGCCGGGCTGCGTTCAGATGCCGTATCTGTTATTTACCAAGCACAGCCCTGTGCCTCAGTTTCCTCAAATGGCACTTACCTCATAAGAGTAGTACCTCCCTTATATATTTGTTGCATTAAATGAGTTAGAATCCCCCTGATCGGTTTAGCTCAGAGGATAGAGCGTCGGCCTGCGGACTGAGGGGTCCCGGGTTCGATTCTGGTCAAGGGCATGTACCTTGATTGTGGGCACATCCCCAGTGGGGGGTGTGCAGGAGGCAGCTGATCGATGTTTCTCTCTCATCGATGTTTCTGACTCTCTATCCCTCTCTGTAAAAAATCAATAAAGTATATTTTTAAAAAATGAGTTGGAATCCATGTAAAATGTTTGGAACAACTGGGTATAGTACACAGGGGACTCTGCATATTAATATTAGCTGTATTTCTTGTTCTCATTCTATCATCTATTCAGCAAACATGAATTGGGCTCCCACTATGTGTGAGCTTGGTGTGCTAGGCCCTGGGGACAGAGCAGCGAACAAGACCCACCTTGGGAGCTCCATGTTGTAGGGGAGACAGACACACATAGTCATGATTTCACGACGGGGTGTGGCAGGCTGAGGCGGGGATAAACCAGGGATGCAGCAGGGGGCCCTGTCCTGCCTGGGGTGGAGGGAGGCAGAGCCAGTGAGGACTTCCCGGAGGAGGTGGGGGATGGGGGTGTGGAAGGGAGGTGTTGGGCCATACTTTGTTGAGGGCCCAAGATGGGTTGGGCCCTGCACTAAGTGCTTGATACCCCTTATGACAGTCCATCCTCACACAGGCCTGTGAGGCAGATTACACTCTCTGTTCACTGAAGAGCAAACTGATGGTTCAGTTACTTGTCTAAGGTCACCCAGTCAGTAAATAGCAGGGCTGGGGTCCAATCCAGGGTCGTCTAACCCCAGATCTTGTGCCCTCTCTTTTCCCCTGAGGGTGCTTGTGGCAGTGTTTACACCGGGCAGAGGGTATCGTCAGGATGGGGGGCGGTGGCCCCAGGTGGAGAAGAGCTGCTCTCGGGGAATTCGGGGAAGGTTGCCAAGGGCCCGGATCCAGGGATCGCCCTCCTCCTCAGGCAGAGGGGCAGAGTGTACACTGGGCACCAGCATAGGCCCTGCCCCGGGCTGTCCGTGTTCCAATCCACTTACCATCGGTGTGATCTAGATGTGATCAGTCTTTCTGTACCTTAGTCTCCTCTTCTGTGAAATGGAGATAACGGGTCCAGCAAGTACTTCTAGGACTTTTAAGTGCTTCTGTCTAAGAATTTTACATCTATTACTCATTTAATCATCATGATCTTCTGTCATTTTTTTTTCAGGTGTGGGTAACACCTGAATAGCTGTTGTAAGGTATAAATTAGTTAATACACACATAGCACTTAGAATAGTGGGTGGCACAAGAGAGGTGCTCTGGAAATGTTAGTCATTATTCAGCACTACAGTGGCCAGAAGGCCGTGGAGAGGATCCATAAAAAAATAATGAAGAACATGATGATGACAACAATAGCAATAATAAAAAACTATGCCTTTATAATTTTTTAAAAAAATGTATTTTATTGATTTTTTACAGAGAGGAAGGGAGAGAGATAGAGAGTTAGAAACATCGATTAGCTGCCTCCTGCACATCTCCTACTGGGGATGTGCCCGCAACCAAGGTACATGCCCTTGACCGGAATCGAACCTGGGACCTTTCAGTCCACAGGCCGATGCTCTATCCACTGAGCCAAACCGGTTTCAGCTGCCTTTATAATTCTTAGGCTCTCTTCAGTTTATAGGGGGACTGCCCATTGTTATTTCATTTGAGACTAAGGAGGCAAGTGTGTCCCAACATGTATTTTGTAGAACAAAGTTCCACACTAATAACAGTGTCTCTTAAAAAAAGAGATTCCCTTTTCAAGCAAGTTTGGAAAACACCGAATTAAACCAAAGGAAACAATTTTCTTTTCTGAGAGACTCTAACTGGCTTCAATGCAGTCGGCCTCCGAAAAGCAGAGGGGGACCCAATATCCAGTGCTTCCCCAAACCACTGGGCCAGGACTCCCTTGTTCCGAGGAGCATCTGTGTGGGTTGTGACCCTTGGAAGACACTTGGGAAAACTCTGGAGTAAAGAGCTTTGGCAAGTCACCTGATCCTGGGCCTCAGTTTTCCCATCTGTAAAATGGGAATAATGGTGCCCATATGACAAGTCCTCTCAGTGTTGCAGGAGGACGACATGAGACTGACTGGTGTAATAACGCGCTCAGCATAATTCCTGGCAAAGGGAACATGGGCAGTACACCGGCGATGATGATCCACACGACCACCCTCTTCTCATCCCCCTCCAGATAGCGGAGCTCAGAGGGGTGAGCAGGTGGCTTCCAAGCCCCCTCACTGTTATGAGTCGCTGCAGGGCCCCCCCAAGCCGGCCGAGAAGGGCAGGAGCCCCCTGGTCACTGAGGCCGCAGGTCCACTCGCACTGGGGATGGGCAAGGGAGAGACCCCCCCGACCTAGCGCGGCTCTCAGGGCAGCTTTGCGGCG